GTGGGGGTTTGTGCGTGTGTGGGGATTTGTGTGTGTGTGCGTGAGTGTGTGTTAGTGCGTTGTAGAGTAAATTCTTGTGTGTGGAGAGGTTTTTCTTGAAGAATTGTAAGAGGAGAAGGAAGGTGAGAGGTTTCTTCTTCATTACACTTCTAAGAGAGAATTTAGTGTTGATTGTAAAGAGAGAAAGTGCTACAAGGGAAGTTCGAAGGATTTTCTTGAGGAGGAGTCTAAGATAAGTTGTGTTCTTTCATTTCTTTATTTTGTAAACTTATTTATATATATAAAATCTGTGTTTTGTTATATCTTCCTCATGAGTTATGAGTAGACTTCTTTATCTTTCTCTTTACTCTGAGATATGATGAAATGAAGAGATAATTTAGATGTTCCATTTTAAAATATAAAATAAATTGTGATGATTTTTTCACTCCATTCTTAATTTACTTTTTGATCTGGCCAATTGAAATGTTAAAATCTATTGTGAAACATATGATCCGGAAAATGAAGTATGAGTTCTACAACAGAGTGAGAATCACATTTAATTCCAGGAGGAGTGTTTTTTTCATGAAATTAGGGCAAATAAATAAGAAAATATACATTGTTGGGTGTAGATTTGGAGATTTTAGGGTGACAGACTAAAATCCTCAATTTGGTTTTAGTGTTTAAAAACTAAAGCGAGCATTAGCTTTTAGGGGAAGGGAAGTGGGAGCTCTGGAGTGAGAGTCAGTATCCTCCGAGCCTAACCATGGATTTAGGGTCCGTTTGGCGCAGCTGTGGGAGAGCAGCGCGACAAGCTGTCACTGTTTTTGACTGTTTGGCGCATCGGCGGGGGAGCTTCGAGTGACCGCGCGGTCGGATTTCATCAAAAAGCGGGCCGCTGGTTATACCCTGCGGCCCGACGTTTCACGTATTTTTTTACCCTGCTGCCCCGATCCAATCTTCTATCTCCTCTTCCCGTCTTCTCTAGTGAGGAAGTCGCGAGGATCTTGCCCGAGAAGAAGGCATCGACGGGATCAACGACTGTGAGGATTACAAACAAGCCCCAAACCTAAACAAAGCCGCAAATACTACGATCCCTCGATGGCGACGTGAGATCTGGAGAAAGATATGGATCCGTCGTTATGTGACTTCCCCTCTGATGCATAAAAAGAACCACGTACTCCCCCTTTCAATTTCTTCCCACCAGAGTCGTTCTCTCCTCAACCTTAAAGCCGCTACTTCCTCGGCATTTTCATCCTCATGAGGTTGGTTTTTGCTTGGAACAGATTTATGTAGATACGTACCATTTCTTTGTCATAATTACATCAAGTATTCTATTAATTGATTTCAGCCATTAAATTTCAAATTTATATTGATAAATAAGGCCTTTGATTATCTTACTCTAGTTTAGGAAATTTGCATATAGGTAATAGAAATTTGCACATATTTTATTCTAATACATCAAATCCTTATTGATATTATAAATTTTTTTTTTACTTGTAATTTTATTAATTTTATTTCTTTTTCTTTAGTTCTTTCGGGGCTAACTATTAAGTGAGGGTATATAAACTTTCTGTTCTGTTTACAAATGAATTTCTGTTTCAGAAGTTTTAAAAATGTAGCTGTTACAGTCTTCTTTTAAACTGTTTTATCAAACAGTGACACAATGGTCATTTTTCTAGAAATAGCTGTCCCACAGGTATTTTCACATAGCTGCACCAATCAGGCAGTCAGCTTCCCCACGACTGCTTCCCCGCAGCAGCTTCCTAGGGCAGCGGAGCTGTAGCTACGCCAAAAAGAGCTTTAGACACTAAACCTGAGATTAACCAATGATTCTCTATAACACTGAATTAGTGTAGAGATAGTGTAGAGAATTAAAACTGAATTAGTGTAGAGAATTAAAACTACTCCTATTTGGCACAATATAAATTCAAACCATTTATCTATATCATTAACCAAAAACTCATTATAGTGGGAATGCACTTTCTTAAATTTGAACTCTTTATCACAAAACTTTGTTTAATCTTAGTAAATTTAACTTTAAAGTATCTTAGTAAATTTAACTTTAAAGTTTATAAATTAATTTAGTAAACTTAGTTTTGTTAGCATACATTAAAACCACTGTAATCAACTTTCCAAACTAATTGCTTATAGTAGTAGACTAGAATTAACCTAAGAGATTTCTTACCTAGCTTCTTCGTGGGATCGATACTGGAATTTTTAAAGACAACCCTATTTTACTTAAAGTGATACGTGCACTTTCGTAGAACTCCAAGTGTGTGAACTATTTTATGCATTTTATAAAACATTTCTATTTTGAACATTAAATACTTAATAAAAATTGGGTCAAGATTTTGGTCATATTTTTGAAAGCTAAATTAGTGCGTAATTTCAGGACGGATCAAGTTTTTGACATTGTTACCAGAGATTTAAAGTAACATAAAACACGTAGAAAAACAACACACATTAGGGGTGCATCAAGTCCATCTTCTTTCAACTCTAAAAAAGTGTCATTAACGTACAATGAAAATCAAAATGACCAAAATAAATTCAATAAAGCAACCTAGGAAAATCTTATAAGACTTAAAAAATCTTTTAATGCAATAAATGAATTACATCTACATGATCAAGCTTCTTAAAGGCTTCATGAATATGTGGTGTTGTCCACCCATAAATTGTTGTCCACCTCAACATGTGAGGTCTAGCCTCAGATGAGATAGGAGTAAACACAAACATGTGCTCATAAAACCAAAGTCGGGATGAGACATATCATAACAAACTTGTTAGAAGGAAAAAATAAATAAAAATAAAGTCACAATGAAATTTCTTTAATGTTTACAATATGCACTTATCATTAAAAGAAAAATAAATTCTTTGATGTATCCAAGTGATTTATTCAGTCATATATTGATAGTGACAATGTTCAATTGATCAATAAAAAAATAACAAATGACATCAGACTAGTTAAAAGATGAGAAGGACTGTACATTCTCCCCAAAGAAATAAAGCATTGCAGGCACAACAAAATTGCTTGAGGGAAAAAAATAAATTTGTTAGTAAGAACTTCAGAAATAATTGCTCAAAAGGAATGAAAGACTCTTCTCCCAAACACTTAGTCAACTCTTCCTTTATTTCTCTAGCATCTACACGAGACGAAGAGTTTTCTTCCAACTAACTACTTCTCCTCTATTAGGCATGCCTAATAACAAAGCAACATGGTCAGGGTAGAGTGTTACCTCATTCCTACCATTACGAACACTCTCCGTTCATGATTCCAAAATCTTAAGATATGTAGGGCCGATACAATAACTTGGGGATACAGAGGCATATCAAAAAACTGAATCACATTCATTTCTCTCAACAACTTTAAGGTCTCCTCGGAGACGTTATATCTAACAATATCAAGTACACCATTTACTGCAGAAGGATGCACCTATTATTGAAAGTCTTTACGTTCATAAACCTACAACAAAAGTAATGCAAAATGGGCATTATTTTAGATACAACATTCTTAAATCACTCATTTTCACATTATTAAATGTTATTCAGGTTTTATTCCAGAGTTTTTATAGTGTTATTGTGGTGTTACTACAATGATAACATGAATAACACATGTACAACGAGTAAAACACCTAAATAACACCACAATAACACCACTACATAGCCATATTGAGGTGTTATTGTTGTGTTATTTGTGTTATTAAGGTGTTATTGATATATTATTTGTGTTATTGTGTGTTATTAATGTAATAACACAAGTAACATCACAACAATACATCAATAACACATCAATAACACACCAATAACATAACAATAACACCTCAATAACACCAAATTAGAGCTGCAATAAACATCACTACGCAACTGTATTGAGGTGTTATTGTCGTGTTATTGATGTATTATTTGTGTTATTACAGTGCTAATAAGGTAATAACACATGTAACACTGTAATAGCACAAATAAAACATTAATAACACCACAATAATGCAACAATAACTTCGCAATAACACCTCAATAACATCAAGTTAGAGCTGCAATAACACCACTATGCGGCTGTTGGTGATGTTATTAAGGTGTTATTGCAGTGTTATTGATGTGTTGTTATTGTTTACACATAAATAACATCTCAAAAGCAACAAAATAACAATGAAATCACGTCTTAATGTTATTTCGTGATATGCAAGTGTTACAGCACTCCAACATAAAATAATAAAAAAATATCATGTGATCTATAAAAAATAATGTAGCATAATACTTCAATGACTTTGGAAAACCGCTAGCTTCTTAAGTTCCCTTGTGATCTTTCATTGTAGTACGTTAACGAGAGGGGAAAAAAACCAAAATTTTGAGTATCACAAGTCCGAACGACGCAATGCTCAACTTGAAAAACGTTAGTGCTTGGGCTTAGCATAAAGTTTCGAGGAAACGAAACCGACCACAAGAAGGCCAAACCGTCCAAAAAATTTAGGTTTTACGCTGAAGAAGAGAAACACTAAAAAAAAACTTTAACACCAAAAAATGTCGAAATATGCTATAAATGCTCGAAATATTCCCTAAATGTTCTTTTTGTTTGTATCATTGGGCTGGGTTGCACGACATAAAACTTAGCATGCCGGGTCATGCATGAAATGAGTGTTTTTTTCCCCACCCCCAACTCCTGAAGATGGAGAAAAATTTGCGTACGGCTCTGCTTAGATAATGGATGTTATATTCGGGTTATGTTTGCATTATATCCGCGTTATGTCGTCCGTAACCTCCGTATAACTTTCATATAATCTACCTGTAACCTACCTAAATTTACAAATAAGTTCCGCGCTTCTATTTTAGGATACATAACCTACATAAAAATTATATGGAAATTACAGGTATAACCTAAATGAGAGCTGCGTGGATGTTCTCCCGCAAATTTTTTCCAAACTCCCGCAAATTTTTTCCCAACTCCCTGCTTCCTAGTTTCGCCCAAAACTATCTCCGTCGCGACCACGCCGTCAGGATACAGTTGCGATTAGAGAAAACGGGGAAGCCAAACGACAGGATCCCGGTGAACAGAGACACGAAATTCCTATCTGTCTCCTCTTTCCGCTCTGTTCCTACGGAAAGGTAAGCCCGTCCCGGATATACTAAATCCGCTGATTCACGCGATTTAGTAAATCCGGGAATTAAGGCCGAAATCCGGAAATCCGTATTTATCAAATCTGCGGCCTTTTCTTTTTCCAGAATGATCGTCTGACAAGATATTGGTTAAATCTGGTTTAAACCCCGCTCTAAATCCGTTACCAGACTGGCCCCTACTGTTCAGGCATTTTTTTTTAGATATGTATTTATGTTTTTTTATGTGCATATACAGACAACCACTCCCACATCCTCACACACTCAGTTTACCCATGAAGTTCTTGGTTTGAATAATGGTTTAGTTTTTAAAAACATTACTTCGTCAGATTTTACTGATAATTAATATCGAGGTTAATGATACCAAAACTACAATTTTGATATTGTCATTACAATTCAAACAAAAATACAATTGTGACATTCAACACCACCTGATTGTGGTTAGGCAAGCTCATGATACTGTCACTTTCCCTAATAGAATTGCAACAATAACCATTACAGATGGGGGATTCAGAGATCATCAAGAGGATTGTTTTACAGGAATTACTAAACTCCAATGCGTTACTCATTTGCTAACAAAAAAGTACCAATAACCATTACTTATTGTCGATGCATGTTTTTCCCTCTTTTTTAATTACACATTCTCTTGCATCGTAGAACCTACGGTGCACTGGTGCTGTGGAAAATCTGTGGAATGATTAGATGCAGAAGCTGGGGGATTTTAAACTACCTCAATTCTTCAACTATCCACCATATTTCACGTAAACTTTCTCATGCTTTAACCTTTTATCTGATAATATCTTTGAAAAGTTCTAATTTTGAATGCTTGGTCGCTAAGTCATATTTCGCTCTATGTGTTTTATGAAATATGTAATGGTTACTGTTATCAGATAATTAATACAAATATTCCATGTTTCTGCTATATCTGCTAGTGGTTTTGACATTGCTTTACCTTCTCCTATTTATAACTAATTCATTTAGATAAATCTGATGAGTGGTGATGGACCTGATGGTTGTTTGATACATGTCCGCTAATTCTTCTAAGCTAGTTATTTTAAGATACATTCAGAAGGAACTTGTTACTAGTGACCTCTTGTAAATGCTATTTTATGAATTAGGGAGCATTGATTTGTGACACTGCTGTTTTAGGTTCACATTTTTGTCCCAAGTATATAAGTTTGTACTTTTTCCATGGCCTCTAATGAGCAAATTGGCATGATTATTGAGGTTTCATTCATTCGAAAGAACATTTTTTAATTTCCGTCCTTATGAAGTTTTATTTTAAGCATATACTTTCCACGGTCCTATAGATAGTTGGGATACGATTAATAATGATGAAGAAGAAGAATTTCCAGCACATGGATTCTCTTATTATCATTTTTTGTGAATCTAAAGTGCCACTTCTGTTGAAGGATCATAACCGGGCTAGTTTGTCGAGTGAATTCTATTTTAGCATTTCTTCTCAACTTTTTTCCCATTGCTAGCTTTGATCATATTGTGTTATCTCTCTCATATTTTCTAGCTATGGCACTTTTAGTTTTACTAGAGGAGGTTTCTTTCTTTTGATATTTCCCTCCCATTTTTTTCTTCAGTTATGAATAACATCCAATCATACCCTATACCTTTAGCTGATTTAACATCTCAGTACTTTATTGGCTACTCAACCAGGCATAATAGGCGTATGTTGTTGAAACGTTGATGCAGTTACTGTTTTGTTTGTGCTCAGTTTATTTGATTTTCGGCCAAGAAGGAATTATTTTTTAGTAGTTATTAGAGTTGTTATGTTTTATCATATCAATATTATTACATGTATTAAATATTTATAGTAAGAATTTATAGTATTTATTATTATAATATTCCTTTATTTTTGAGGATATGCACCTTTATTGTATTTTCGTTTATTGAGCGTTTCTTTTGCCTTTATATAAATTCGCATCAACATACTATTCAATTTAATAATATCCATTACAATTCTAGTTCTCTAATAAATTTAACTCAGCTTGTTGTGTTTTTAATAACATGTTTTTTAGTTCATATGTTTATTGCAGAACTATTATTTTTTCATAGATTTCATGGGATGAAAGTTGATAAACTTCATACTTCATGTTCAGTGTTGCAAATCTTAGAATCCTAGTTGTGCATTTGACCTGTACAACTATGCTTTCTAGGTTGCAGCCTATAAGGGAGACGAGAGAGAAGCAGGTACAGCTATGGAAGGAGTTGATACTCGAATATTGTAGGAGTCAGAAAATATTCATAGTTGGATTGGAAGAAGAGTTTCCCCTTTTTTCTAATCAGGTTATTGAAAGTAAGTTTGGCCTTATGATTAATTCAGTTTTACTTAAATAATGTAAGATTTATTAGTTGTAGTTCATTTTTTGAGTGAATTAGAGAGAAGATAAAGATTGTTCAACCTATTTAAAGGGATCTCTTAGGAGGGCTTAATTTTTCCATTTTACTTATGCTTAATCACAAGCATTTCATCATATATACAGTTTGTGGAATCTTTTTAATAGCTGGCCAGCGTTTGGATGGAAAGCTGTTCATGCGGGTCTTATGTTCTGGAAACTACTTTCATTTACTTCAACTCAATAAGAATAATGAACAGGTTCAATGTGGTAGTTTGTTTTACAATTTTCAATTATATGAACATGCAAAATTGGTTACCTAATTATGCAGTTATTATGGATAACTTATTCCGTTTTAGGTGTAGTTCACAAGGAAATTTTAGTACATGATTTTGCATGTTCAGTCAACGATTGATCAAATTTTTTGCTTAACTTTATTCCATTATGCACCCACATTGAACAATTATTTATATGCTATTTATCCTACTGTATATGTTTAGTATCCTACCATTCTTATTCTTTGACTTTACTAGGATTCACGTCGACTTCTATTTGGTAACCGGCATATCATAGAGCAAAGATACACTCATTTGTTCATTGGATGATACCTGTGGTTACCTTATCTAAAGTTAAAATAATCTCTTTCCTGTGTGTTTGCAAGAAACTCAAATTTCACATCGTTTCTCTTAATGGTTAGACATACAAATTTGGTGAACCTAACATAGCATTGATTTTAATACGTTTCCATGCGTACTATGCTTATGTATATTTTTGAAAGCTAAATTTGCATTTGATATTTGCAGATTTTCATGTTATGTTCTTTTTAATTTTTTCTTTATTTCAAGTTATACTTTTTTAATGATCTTGATCAGTTTCTAGATTTTTTTTAGCTATATTTCCTTAAAAATGTTGCACAATAATTTAGGATTAGGGTTTTCTTATGCAAATGGAATGATATAGTATGTGTATTGTGAAAATCTGAGAAGATCTTCTGAAGGATATGATTAGGACGACTTATGAGATCCTTGATTTGTATATTCCTTTTTTATTCTATGTTATTTTATTTTTTATGCAGAATTATTTCATTTTCTAATCTAGGATATATTTGGTATGTTTGTAAGTTAGGAGGGATCATTTTTTCTATGTATACGTACCCTACGTGTGAATAATACAATCAAGAGATTTATTTCTTTTAAAACTTTTTCTACATGATATCAAAGCCTCTGAAATAAACCCTAAAATCCACCTGCCGAATCTCTGCTGCAGGCTCATATCTCTTCTGTTGGAACCCTTATGCCAACTTAGGAAATCTCCTCTGCCGGCCCTTAGCAGAAGAATCTGTTGTTTCCTGTAGCGGCAGCAAGCTGAAATATGTTCTCCCCTGCAACAGAACTCCTCCTTACGTGTCATTTTTCCCTTCCAACAGTCGGAATTTGCTCTTTCTTGCAGCAGAACTCCTCCCCGCATTTCCCCTTTCCACTGCAGATCGTTCCCATGTCCTCCCTGCAGGAATCCGCTCTCTGATTTTCACCGCCTGTTGGAACTCTCACAGTAGCCCACCCCTTCATTCTTCAGTCACCACAATCTTCCAGTAACATTATCAGCGGCAACAAGTAGCAGCAGGAGCAAGTGTTTGTTTCTTCCTTTCCTTCAGTACCCTTACATCTACCTACTGAAAATGTAGTCAACTATAAGCAGCCTTAAATACACTTGAGGTTGATGACTAATGCATGATAAAAACTTTAAGTTTTACTTCAGAGGTTTACTCTGAATCAGATATTAGGTAATTTCTCCAGACAACTCCTAAACTCTCTAATTTTATCATAAATCATACTCATTGGTCCCAATCTGTGTTTATGTAAATTTGTGGTAAAGGAAAATGAGGAACTTCTCATGGGATAAGAAAAGTTCCCGAGGTCACCGATCCCATTCACCTCACATGGAAGAATCGAGATCATATGGCTATGTCTGGGCTAGTCAAGTAGGAGAAAATTTTCCGCTCTACAAAACTTCCAAAGAAATCGAGGAGCTTGCAAGAGAAATATATTCCTGCACTGAAAATGCTGTAGAATTGTTTGAAATCGAATCTAAACTTTATAACCTATTGCTTCAACACCTTGACAAAATATTGACTATAATTGAATATGTTTGAGACACGTGTGAAAATGTACACATGATGTCGTGATGTTTAAATCCATCATCAAGAAGAAGAGAACCATCAACTTTTTAGAACTAAGGATTTGGATGAGATGAGAGGGAGGTTCATGAGAACAAAGCCTCTTCCATCTGCTTGTGAAGCCTTTGCTAAATTCAGGAGAGAAGAGAGTAGAAAGAAGCTAATGTTGACTGGTAATGGGTTTTTACCAAATGGCTGTTTGATTGGGAGAAATTGTAATATGCTGTAAATCTTTTGCAGAGATTTTAAAAGATTGTTTTGGTACAAAGAATTACAAATACAATGTAAATTATGAATGATTTTGAAGTTCACAACTTAGTTCATTTTAGAGGAACTTAGAATTGAGCCAATTTGGTCAAATTTGAGATTTACATCATTCATTAACGTAAAATATTATTAGTAAGTTGTCGCCTACCATGTGTTGCCCCTCGCCAGCACCCTGCCTCCCTGTCGCCGCCGCTGCACGCCTCAAGGCCGCCACCCGCATCCCGCCGCCGACCCCCACCCCACTCACCTCGACCCGGCA